TGCCACCCGCGCCCTTTCCCGCCTTTTTTTGCTCTGTCTACGCATGCGCGCGTGGGGCGGAGCCGGAAGTGGGAGGGCAGGATGGGCAAGTCTTCATCTGCTACGCGCCTCGTGGCGTCACTGCGCACTGCGCCTCCTGATTGGCCGGCAGGCCTGTGCCCGCGGTAACAATAGCTGGGTGTAGAGCAAAGAGGCCCCATCCAGCCTTGCCCTGGGGAGAGGGAGCGGGGAGCAGGCCCCGCAGGCGCCGTGACTTGGGGTGAGCGGGCAGGGTTGTGAGTTGGGGCTTATCATTCCCCGGTTTCAGAACCGGAAACGGGAGCTCCGGGAGGTGATGCTCCGCGTTCGAAGGTTATCCGGGTCCCGGAGCCTTTGCGCGCCGCAGAGCCTCCTCCCTGTCCCACGGCGCCCCCTCGTGGTGGAGACCGGCAAATGCTGGGTCCTGCCCGGGGGACCCTTCGCGGCGCACGGGTCACCCAGGCCTGGAGCCCGAGGCATTGCAGGATTGCAGACCGACCAGGGAAACCTAAAGACAGCCGTAAGCACAGCCTTCGCGATGCGAAGACTTGGAGGGAGGTACGGGGTGGACGGTGGCAGAGAACACAGGCGCGGATTCATGTCTTCAGCTGCAAGGCAACCTTGGCAAAATGGCTTGGCTTCCTTCCTCTGGGGAAAAAATGGGGCTCCAGGGTTGTTGGAAAAGCTCAGGGAGGCTTGCTCGGGGCTGGGCGTGGGTGACTCCAGGGAGACACTGAGTTCCAGATGGGGGCAAAGGTGAGGCCCAGGGAAGGTCAGCGCTCACTCGGGAGCCACGAGCGGATTCTGTCTTAAGCGAGTTCACACACGGTACTCCTGGGCTTGGGAACTGTGTGTGCTGAAATCCTCGGAAGCTCGAGTCCGGAGGCCAGCTAATTGTGGCTCCACTGGGATGAGAACTCGCAGGGTGACCTCGGGTCTCAACCCAGCCAGCAACATGAGTGTGAAATCATTCAAACCCACAGAATATTTGGTTGACCTTTGCTGAAAACGAACAACAGCTGCATCCAGGGAAGGAGTGGTTGTTTGTGGGAGAGAAATCGAGGAGAGCCTCACAGAGGGGATGGTGTTATCCCACCAGCAGACACAGGACCGAGGGCATTCTCAGAGGAATATGCAGGCACACCAACTTCTGGGAGTTGAGCCGATGGAGTTGGGCGATGGGCAGGGTTGGTGAGGAGAGGGAGGGAGGAGAGGGGGACCCGCCTTCTACTGGGGGTGGGTGCACAGGAGCCAGGGTGGGGATTGCAGGCGGCTTCACCTCTGCCTCCTGGAGGTCCCAGGAGTGCCTGGGTTGAGGTTGCAGCCTAGCAAGATGGAATGTGAGGCTGTGGGCATGGGGAAGGCCATGCTGACCCATAGTTGTGTCTCACTTGTCCCGCCATGCCCAGCTGGGACAGGAGGGGAACTCATGCACTCCTGGTGTTGCAGTGCACTATCCCTGCATGACATCATGCAGAGAAGAGGACCCAAGGCTAAATGCAAGATTAAATTTAGGGGTTGGATGGTGTGGTTTTTCACTTCTTCCTCCCCACATATCCGTATGGGACAAGTTCTATCCTTAGTCTCATTCTACAGATAAGGAAACTGAGGTACAGAGAGCTCAGGTGAGCAAAAGGCAGAGCCTGGATTCAGATTCCAGATTCACACCTTGAACCGCTCCAGCCATGATGACTGGGAAGGACAGAATTCACTCTGGAGAATCCAGGGAGCAGAGAGCAGGTGGTGGCCTCATTCAGGTTGGAGGAGGCTCCTGGGGCTACAACCTTGGAACCAAATCCCAAAGTGAATAATAGCTCACCAAGGGTGGGCATGGCAGCTCATGCCTGTTATCCCAGCACTTAGGAGGCCGAGGCAAGAGGATTGCCTGAACCCAGGGGTTCGAGACCTCGTCTCTACAATAAATACAAAAATTAGCTGGGTGTGGTAGTGTGCACCTGTGGTTCAGGCTACTTGGAAGGCTAAGGCGGAAGGATCACCTGAGCCCAGCAGGTCGAGGCTGTGGTGGCCATGAGCATGCCACTGCACTCCAGCCTGAACAACAGAGTGAGACTCCTACTCAAAAAAAACAAAACCAAAAAAAATCTCACATCGAAGCTGCCTTCCTATGAAAATATCAGCCTGCAATTGCAAAGTGCTCTGTATTCTCAAAATGTACTGTCTGAAATTTGGCTTCTTACTCTCACACAGGTATTTACACTGTAACTACTCCATACATATGTCTCCTGACCCCATACTGTTTCTACATTTTTTTTTTTTTGAGACAAGGTCTGGTTCTGTCACCCAGGCTGGAGTGCTGTGGCACGGTCATGGCTCACTGCAGCCGCCACCTCCTGGGCTCAAACGATCCTCCTGCTTCAGCCTCCAGAGTAGCTGGGATTACAGGCGTAAGCCATTATACCCAGCTAATTTTTAAAATATTTTGTAGAAGCCGGGCTTGGTGGCCCAGCCTGTAATCCCGCGCCTTTGGGAGGCTGAGGTGAGTGAATTGCCTGAGCCTGTGGGTTGGAGACCCGCCTGGGCAACAAGACCTCATCTCTACAATAAATCAAAAAATCAGCCAGGCGTGGTAGCGCATGCCTGTAATTCCGGCTACTTGGAAGGCTGAGGCAGAAGGATCCCCGGAGCCCAGCAGGTCGAGGCTGCGGTGTCCGGGAGCGGCCACTGCACTCCAGTCTGGGCGACCGAGTGAGACTCCAACTCAAAAAAAAAAAAAAAAATTTTGTAGAGACAGAGTCTCATTGTGTTGCCCTGGCTGGTCTTGAACATCTGGGCTCAAGTGATTCTCCCGTCTTGGCCTCCCACAGTGCTGGGATTCCAGGTGTGATCCATGGTACCCTGCCAATGCTCCTGCCTCCTCTAGCAGCTGAATACTGTGCACAGAGACATCAGTCCTGCACACCCCTTTTTCAGCTCGCCTCCTCCATCCAACCTTAAATTTTGAGGCCTCATGACTGCCTGGCTATGTCCCTTCCTAGCTGGGTGGGCAAATAACTTCTCTGTGACTTAGTTTCCTCATCTGTAAAATGGAAATCATTTTGGCATCCATTTCATGAGGTCACAGACCCAGGCACACAATAAGCGATTCTTTGCATTAAAATACAGCAACTCAGTTCCTTCTTCTTTTTTTGAGTTGGAGTCTCACTCTGTCACCCAGACTGGAGTGCAGTGGCCGCTCCCAGCCACTACAGCCTTGACCTGCTGGGTTTCGGCAATTCTTCCTCCTCAGCCTTCCAAGTAGCTGGAACTACAGGCGTGCGCTACCATGCCTGGCTAGTTTTTGACTTATTGTAGAGCTGAGGTCTCCCCAAGTTGCCCAGGCGGGTCTCGAACCCGCGGTCTCAGACAATCCACTCACCTCAGCCTCCCAAAGGCACAGGATTACAGGCTGAGCCACCGAGCCCGGCTAAGTTCCTTCTTTTTAACATCTGTATAATATTCCACCATATGAGATGCAGCCATATTCATATGGCTAATTTTTTTATTTGTTGTAGAGACAAGGTCTTGCCAAATTGCTGATCTCGAACCTGTGGGTTCGGGTAATCCTCTCACCTCCGCCTCCCAAAGTGCTGGGATGACAGGCATGAGCCACTGTGCCTGGCTTCAATGTGAGTTCTTAATGGCATTTTCCCCACACCCAGCATCTTGGAAAGAAGTTGTTAGTGATTCACTACTAATGGTTTTCTCCCTAAACTTTTTTGTTTGCTTGTTTGTTTGTTTAAATTAATAGTACTGGCCAGGCATGGTGGCTCACACATGTAATCTCAGCCTGGGCAGCACAGCAAGACCTTGTCTCTAAACAATAAAATAATTCATGCATTAAAAGTACCACTGATGGCTTTTAAAATTCCCTAGTTAATAGCACTACTAATGGCTCATGAGGTAGGATGTTACAGCTGTCATCTTGGGTATTTAATAGGAATGGAATGGTATTTAATTAAGCTTGGTTGGTTATGGGAAGGCATGACTGAGCTGTCCACGGCACCTGACTTTGGGGTGAAGTGGGGCCCCCTCGTCCTATTAGCATGCAGTGTATCAGCAGGTGATGGAGCAAGGGATTCTGTAAGCAGGACAGCTCGCCACAGAGCTCACAGTGACACCGGCACACGTGCCTCGGGCTATGGATGCTGCCCTCCTGCCTGGCTGCGCGTGTCTCAGCAGGCTTATTGGGCGGAATGCGGAGGGGAAGGGAATTCCAGGCAGGGCCAAGAGCAGGGCCAGAGGCCAGGAGGTCTGAAAAGACTGGATGGCAGGCATCCAATGGGAGCATTGTGCGGACCAGACAGTGGGAAGGATGGGGCCAGCGGGCGGTCTGTGAAGGCAGATGAACAGGCACGTGGGCTTGATGCCATGGGTGGTGGGGACTTGGGGAAGGATGTGGGGCCGTCTCCGCATCAGAAGGCGGCCTCTGAGGTCAGTGTGGGGGGACAGGGTCACAGAGGAAGTTGGTTTGGTGAACCAGGTGAGTAAGAACCATCAAGGTAGTGGGACGGGGTGTTTTGCTGGGGTGATGGAAATGTTCATTTTGTTTGTGAGGCAGCAGCACAGCCTTGCAAATATGCCGCAACCCACTGAAACTGGCTGGGACAATGTAGCAAGACCCCATCTCTACAAAAAAATAATTATCATCAAAATAATTGGCCGGGTGTAGTGGTATGTGACTGTAATCCCAGCTACTCGGGAGGCCGAGATGGGAGGATTGTGTGAGGCCAGGAGCCTGGGCAGCAAAGCAAGGCTCTGGTCTAAAAAAAAATTTTGTTAAACCACCGAATTGCACACTTTAAGTTGGTGAATTGTATGATATGTGAATTCTGTTTCAAGAAACCAGTTGTTAAGATAAGCTTTTTGATCAGCCAAGCTAGAAATCTGAATGATCTTTCTAGTTTCCCTAAATAAAATGTATATATGTTATAAATGCATATGTTATATAAAAAGGTTATTACATAGAGATTATCCAAGTGTATTTAGCCAAAAAACATAGGAAAAATAGTGTTATAGAAATGTTCATTAGTAAAGATATTATAAACTTTTTCCCCCTAGGGCAGAGGCCTCAGGGAGTTGAAATAATAAATGCCTTTATTTTATAAGCTAGTTTAGTGACAGTTTGCGTTCTTGTAGCCAAGGGCATCCTAATGAATCTGGAGGAGGCCGTGAGACAGGGGAGGAGGCCATGAGATCAGGGAGGAGGCTGTGAGATCGGGAAGGAGGCTGTGACATGGGGGAGAAGGCCATGAGATCAGGGAGGAGACTGTGAGAATGGGGAGGAGGCCTGAGATCTGGGAGGAGGCTACAGGGATGGCCCAGCTGCGGGAGGATCATGCTGGTCCCAGGGCCGGGCCCAGGGGGAGTGAGGGGAGACTCACACTCAAAGGGAGGTTGAAGGCTCAACTCTCTTCCCTGGATCTCCCAAGGTGGCAAGGATGGCTACAGACCTCCCTGGATGTGGTATGCTCATTCGGGAAGGGGCCGGATCAAGGGGGCCCCCACTGCAGACACGCCTGGGACCTCTCTTGCTGCTGGCACCACCAGGAGCCCAGGCTACCCTTCTCCAGCTCCAAGGGCCCACGGGGACACAGGTGAGACATGTGACTGGGGCAAGGGCACTGGAGAGCATGTGTTGTGGGGTGGGGAAGTGAACTCCAAACCCCCAATGGTGATTGACCCTAACCCCTGAAAGACCCAAGAGAGATACATCCTCAAACAAGAGGTCCTGATGAGGGGCGGTTTTGCCCCCAGGGGACATCTGCCAATCTCTGAAGACACTTTGGTTGTCATGACTGGAAGAAGAGAGGCTATCCATTGGCACCTAATGGGTGGAGGCTTGAAATGGTGTTAAACATACACAGTGCACAGAATATCGCCCTGTAGCAAAGAACCATCCTGCCCAAAATGTCAGCAGTGCTGAGACTGAGAAACCCTATTCCAGCCTATGCAAGTCACTCTGACAAATAAGAAAATGATGGGAAACCAGCCTGGGCAACATAGTGAGACCTCGTCTTTAAAAAAAAAAAATCAAAAACTTAGCCGAGTGTGATGGTGTGTGCCTATAGTCCCAGCTACTTGGGAGGCTGAGGTGGTAGGATCACCTGAGCCCTGGAGGTTGGGCCTGCAGTGAGCCATGATGGTGCCACTGCACTCCAGCCTGGGAGACAGAGTGAGGCTCTAAACCAAAAAGGAAGGAAGGAAGGAAGGAAGGAAGGAAATGATAGGAAACCCCAAATGAGAAAGAGCAAAAGATACAAATAGGTGACTCATGGAAAGGGAAGTCCAAATGGCTTAGAATATGTAGAAATGCTCATACTCATCAGAAATCAGAAAATACAAACTAAAACAAGGACAAGCATGGAAAAGAATTAGAAAGGTGGATAATGCTAAGTGTGAGTAAGGATGTGGGTGATAGGCATCCCCACTGAGTATCATTATTTAATAAAAACAATCTAGCAGTATTTAGTAAAATTAAGTATGATTATAAGTTATAATCCAGAAATCTTTCTCCTAAATATTTTTTTCAGAGAAATCCTTACACAGGCTTATAAGAGGACATATGAGGGAGAACTCAAAAAACCTGGAATTTGCTTATTAAAAATTGTGTATTTATTCTTACATGTTTAAACTTCAGTCACCTTCGAAGTACTTGCTGTTTGAAGGAATACACTTATCTTGGTGCTTTTTCTGCTGCTCAAAACAGTTTTTTTTTTTTTTTTGAATTGGAGTCTCACTCTGTTGCCCAGACAGGAGTGCGGTGGCATGCTCCCGATCACCGCAACCTTGACCTGCTGGGCTCCGGCGATCCTTCCACCTCAGCCTCCCAAGTAGCCGGAACTACAGGCATGTGCTACCATGCCCAGCTAATTTTTGATTCATTGTAGAGATGAGGTCTTTCCAAGTTGCCCGGGTGGGTCTCGAACCCACGGACTCAGGCAATCCACTCGCCTCAGCCTCCCAAAGTGCTGGGATTACAGGCTGAGCCACCGAGCCCGGCCTCAAAAGTGTTTTTGAACTTGTCAATTCTGATGCCTTTTAGTGCTTCTGCCATTTTTTGTTTCACCTCTTCCACATCAGCAAAACTTTTCATTTTGAGGACTTTTTTCATGGGCGAAAAAAAAAGTTGCTCAGGGTGAGATTGGGTGAATAGGGGGATGGGGCTCAGGGGTTATGCCATTTTTTAACACTCCGCACAGTGTGGGCAAGTTGTTTGTGTAAATCTCCCATCATGAAATGGGCACATGCATTGAAAAAATCCCCCCCCCCCAAAAAAAATTTGCTGAGGCTGAATGCAGCCTCTCACAACAAGCTAACTAATACACTGATGCCGATGGGTTCCTAGAACACTTACCTAGCAGGGGAAGCCTATACTATAAGGGGCTTGCCCTCCAAAAGATAATTCTGGTTTTTTTGGGTGGTCTCTCACTCATATATGAGGATGGTCTTTTGAACTCTGCGATAATCAGGGAGTTAAAAACTAGTTAAATGTCCAACATTGAGGAATGGTTAAAGGAAATGCAACGGGTGCACATGATGGAATTCTATGCAACAGCTAAAACAATGACTAGATGTATTCACAGCCACATGGATAGGTGTTAACAACAATATATTGAGGGGGAATGTCAGACACAGAATGAGATTCCAGCTGGATGTTATTTTCAAAATTAAAAGCATAAACACAAAAATACCCATACACTTATAGAACACTATATTTTATAAGGACACACACATGTTTAAGGCCATATGTCAAATACATTAGTGGAGGTGCCTATGGGAGAAGGTGACAAGGACAGAGATGGGGGAGAAAAAGGATTCAAATTAAAATAAAAAGCCGGGCTCGGTGGCTGAGCCTGTAATCCCACGCCTTTGGGAGGCTGAGGTGAGTGGATTGCCTGAGCCCGCGGGTCGAGACCCGCCCGGGCAACTTGGTGAGATCTCATCTCTACAATAAATAAAAATGAGCTGGGCGGGGTAGCGCGCGCCTATAGTTCCAGCTACTTGGAAGGTTGAGGTGGAAGGATCGCTGGAGGCCAGCAGGTTGAGGCTGCAGTGGCCAGGAGCGGCCACTGCACTCCAGTCTGGGTGACAGAGTAAGACTCCAACTAAAAAAATAAAATTAAATTAAAAAAAATAAAATTAAAATAAATAAAATAAAAATAAAATAAAATAAGAGGACACACTGCAGGGACTATTGATGACAATGTGCTGAGTATGAATAATTTAGTTTGTAGTTGTCTGGCCCTTGGGTCTGAAAAATTAAAAACCATTAGCCAGGCTTGGTGACTCAGCCTGTAATCCCAGCGCTTTGGGAGGCCGAGGTGAGTGGATTGCCTGAGCCCACAGGTTGGAGACAAGTCTAGGCAACTTGGTGGGACCTTGTCTCTACAATAAATTAAAAATTAGCTGGGTGTGGTAGTGCACACCTGTAGCTCTGGCTTCTTGGAAGGTTGAGGTGGAAAGGCACCGGAACCCAATAGGTCAACTATGAGGTAGCCGTGAGCGTGCTACTGCACTCCAGCCTGGGTGACAGAGTGAGACTCTAACAACAACAAAAAAAATGCCATTGCCAGTCTAGATATCTGAGACCTTAAAATATCTAAGCTGAGATTCTTAAAATAATAACTAAAACAGTTAACATTTATCAAGCAACATACCCCATGTCAGGCACTAGTCTAAACATTGTATGTGTATTATTCCTCATAATATCCACATGCATTATAGACCATTATGTAGGTCTATAATTATGTCTATTTCACAGAACAGAGAAATTGAGGCTCAGACATCAAAGACTCTGACAACATCAATAATCACAAGGATATTTATTTTAAGCTAGACACTGTGCTAAGTGCTTTGCACAACCATGATCTCTGAATCCTTGTGATGCCCTACAAAGGAGACATGTTGATCATCCACGGTATATAGATGGGGAAGAAACTGAGATTCAGGCCTGGCATGGTGGCTCACCCTATAATCTGGGTACTTTGAAAGGCTGAGGTGGGAGGATCGGTTGATGCCAGGAATTTGAAACCAACCTGGGCAACATAGTAAGACCCTATCTCTACAAAAAAAAAAAGTTTTAAAAGAAAGAAATTGTGATTCAAGCAGTTAAATTACTTGCCCATGTCACCCAACTAGGAGGCAATGGAGCTGGGGTTTAAACCCAGACAGCCTGGTTGAGGCCAAGCCCTTTACTGAAACTGCTTCTCCACCCCTGCAAACAAAGGACAGGAGAAAGGGATGCAAAGCCCTATAGGAACAAATGTAAGTCTCCAGAGCTTTGAGGTTCCAGATGGTAGCTACCAACACAGGTGGCTATCTACATCAAAATGAATCAGCATTTTGAAAAATGAAGCATTAAGGTCCGCATTCACACGAGCCTCATTCCAAGTGGTGTGTAGCCACATGTGGCCAGGGTCTGCCGTACTGGACAGTGCAGATCACAGAACATTCCCATCATTGAACACGTGGGATTTCATTGCCTAGACTCTGGATTCACACAGCCTGGGTTCAAATCTTGTCCTTGCTATTTACAAACTGCGTTTGTGTGATCTCTGGCAAGTTACCTCCCCTCTTGGCCTAATTTCTTCCCTCATCTGTAAAAAGTGAAAATTCGCCAGGAAGAGGGTGAGTCTTCACTCAACTCAGACCCCAAATCTAAGGGTGCCAAAAAACACAGTAATCAAGGTCAAGGATATCATAGCACAATATATTTATTATTATTATTATTTATTTATTTATATATATATTTTTTTAGTTGGAGTCTCACTCTGTCGCCCAGACTGGAGTGCAGTGGCCGCTCCCAGCCACTGCAGCCTCGACCTGCTGGGCTCCGGCGATCCTTCCCCCTCAGCCTTCCAAGTAGCTGGAACTACAGGTGCATGCCACCACGCCTGGCTCATTTTTTTTTATTTATTGTAGAGATGAGGTCTCACCAAGTTGCCCAGGTGGGTCTCGAACCTGCAGGCTCAGGCAATCCACTCACCTCAGCCTCCCAAAGGCGTGGGATTACAGGCTGAGCCACCAAGCCCCGCTAGCACAATATATTTAAAACTCAAAGTTAAAGGCCAGGTGCAGTGGCTCACGTCTGTAATCCCAGTAATTTGGGAGGTCAAGGTGGGAGGATTGCTTGATCCCAAGAGTCCAAAATTCAAGACCAGCTTAGACAATATAGTAAGACCGTGTCTCTACAATACATCAAAAAATTAGCTGGGTGTGGTGGTGTGCGCCTATGGTTCCAGCTACTTGGAAGGTTGAGGTGGAAGGATCACCTGAGCCCAGCAGGTTGAGGCTGTGGTGGTTGTGAGCATGCCATTGCACTCCAGCCTGGGCAACAGAGTGAGACTCCTAGTCAAATAATAATAATAATAATAATAAATAAATAAAAATTTATTTTAAAATTAGCTGGGTGTTGTGGCACTAGTCCCAGCTACCTAGTAGGCTGAGATAGAAGGATTACTCAAGCCCAGGAGGCTGAGGCTTTGATGGCCGTAATCGTGAGACCCTGACTCAAAAAAAAGAAAATCAAAATTAATGCCAAAAAAATCCATAATGAACCAAATATCAAAATTTCAATTGAATACAGGATCCTACCCACCTCACTGGACCCATCACAGCTCCACAAAAAAATCAAAAAAAATTTAGCGGGGTGTGGTGGCTCACACTTGGTAAGCCAAAGTGGGAGGATCACTTGAGGCCAGAAGTTTGAGACCAGCCTGGGCAATACAGCGAGACGTTGTCTCTACAAAATAAAAATATATAAAATAAAAATTTAAAAATACTGCCTAATGATATGTATGATGATTACCAAGATGACCTCTGCCCCCTCTGACATCTCCCTACCTCCCCCTGCTCCCTAACATCCCGGTCCGCGCTGTGTCTGGATCTTTCTGTATTCTGCACCCTTCTGAACACTTCCGTGCCATCCCGGTCCAAAAGTGATCCCCGTGCCCCAGCACCTTCCC